TTAGTCAAGTCCATGCCAATTGCATATTAATGGTATGCGTGAATGATTTAGGAATGCTTGGGTATAACTTCAATAATCCCATCTTTTTTATAACCAACTGAATTTTGAAGCCTTTATCCTCAAACGATCAAATCGACATTTTGCATACATGATTAGCTGAAAAATATAGCGAGTCGCCCAAAAGAACGGCCTGGTTTTTTCCATATATACCCATGATATGGCTATCAAATGAAAGCGTTTGCTGAGAAGAATACGAAAATTAACATGACGTGATTCTAAATACAACATGGCGAACTGCCCAAGATGTCTGACTGGTTTCTTAAGCACTTTATTGATATGGGTATCAAATGAATCGGTTTGCTGAAAAGAATTCGACAAATAACATGACGTCGCTATCAATCCAATATGGCGAATCGCCCAAGATGACGGACTGGTTATTTTATGCATCTCCCTGATATGGGTATCAGATTAAGGAGTTTGCTGAAAAGAACAACATGACGTCTTTCTAAATCGAATATGGCATACCACTCAAGATAGTGGACTATACAGGGTGGGGCACTGAAAACGAAACAGTTCGAATATCTTCAAAACACACGTGTTCTAAAAAAAATGCAAAAACACGTCGATTTTTAATCCAAGGGGGACATCTTTCTATCATAACTTCAACTGTCACACCTCTTCCCCCACCCCTTGTGACTATCGCCGAAACAATTTGAATTGGGAAAGTAGTAAGTGTGACACATCGTTAAAAAGGTAATTTCACAAGAAATTCAGCCATGTCAGTTTTATTTACCTAACTTTAGATTTTGGCGACTTCTTGCGGGTAAAAACTGTTCCGTATTCCAAATTATAATACTTCATTCGCAAGCTAATTTGACATAAATTCGGTGACAATGCATTATGGAGTTTTTCTAGGGAAAAAACAAGATGACGGCTTCACAATGGCAAACAAGACTTGCAATTATGGTCCGATTGGATTCAAAATTGATAAGTGGTGGTTTTCAGGGTTGGAAATTATGAATTGTTTATCAGTGCAAAAAATCAAGATGTGGCTCCAAAATGGCGGACGAAATTTGTAATTATGGTTCGATTTAACCCGACACCGAAAACGAATTCTTCAAAGCACATGTGTTGTGAACATGATGCAAAAACACGTCAATTTTAAATCCAAGGGGATGAAATCTTATCGATACCTTAACTGTCATACTTCTCTCCCCACCCCTTGGTCATTCATACAATTTGATTAGGGAAAGTACTAAGGGTGACACAGCATTGAAAAGGTAATTCCATAAGGAATTCAGACATGTGAGTGTAAGTGTAAAAATTTTTTTCCCACAAGAAGGCGCCAAAATCGAAAGTTAGGTAGCTGAAATTGACATGACTGAATTCCTTATGAAATTACCTTTTAAACGATGTGTCACATTTACTACTTAACCTATTCAAATTGTTTGGGTGATAGTTACCGAGGGGTGGGGGAAGAGGTATGACAGTTGAGATTATGAAGGGAAGATGTCCCCCTTGGATTACAAGTCGACGTGTTTTTGCATTCTTTTCAGAACACATGTGTTTTGAAGATATTCGATCTGTTTCGTTTTCGGTGCCCCACCCTGTATAGTTGTTTTATGCCACTCCCATGATATGAATATCAAAATAGAAAGGTTTGCTGAGAAAAATACAAAAAATGACATAATGTTTCCTGAATCCAATATGGCGGTCCATGCGATATGGCGGATTAATTTGTTTATGCACGTTCGTAACATTGTAGTTATCTGTGAGGTTTTGCTTCCATTTGAAATAGGTAATAGGTGAAAATATGTGATGGAATTGGCCTATACTTGATGAAAATCCATAACGTATTCGAGTAACATTTTATTGTGAGATTTTCACTGGACAGTTTACAAACCTGAAAGCCATATTTCAATATACAATAGCTCCCTCACACATGTTCATACTGACTCCTCAGTCAGTATAGAGTGTTACTTGAAGAGAGAAAATAAGTGGAAGTGGACTACTAGAAATGGGATAACAACTCCAAAAACTGACCGAAGTGATGCATTGATGAAATTTTATGTACTAATCTATTCAATTGTTACCATAATAATCCTTTCAAAGAATTACTTGCTCATACGGTATTATTTAAATACTACCGTTGCATTGAGAGTTTCTTAAGTTTATTCCTAAAATAAGTTAACTTTCAGGTATCACGTGGCAAAAATAGATGGCACTCACGAATGTCACTGAGTACAACTAATTGCACTCTACACTCTATGGAATCTCATCTCCTATTTTTACGAATTATTGGAAATCACATTTTGATGTTTGTTTTTCTGATACACTATACCAGAATGCCATACAACGATATTTGAAGCCTGTCGTGTATGTCAGTCAAACAGATAAGCCTTAGATATAAAAATGAGTCTGAAAAATGTATCGAGGAAAAGAAAATATATATTTTGACATGAAAACTCGTAACATGAATCTCTCACAACCTACTCACACAATAGGTTCTCGTAAATAAATACCTATTGGAAAACAACTACTCTTCCAGCTAATATCATGCTGGACATTGAATTGTATCCGACAGACAGGCTGCAGAGTCGTCCCGCTGCTGGAGGAGCGAGAAACATCTGCAATACCATCCTCTGTGAGTGAGGTATCTTGCACAAAAGCCTGTCGGGTATAACTCAATGTCCAACGTGGTATTAGCCGGGGAAGTAGTTGTTGTTAGGTTTCCATTTACCAGAACCTACTGTATAGGTACGTTGGGAAAGATTAATGTTTTGAGTTATCATTTCGAAATATTTTCTATTAGCCCTTAATGAATATTTGTACTCGTTTCTTGTATATTTTTTTCATTTTGCCGTTCGTGAGATAAGAAATTCTTCTCTCAGAATTTTCATATTACATTATGTGAATTTTGCACTTACTGTAAGCTACCACATTTCCATATTAGTTCTGCTCTACTTATCACAATGCAGGGAATAGTGAAAACATTTTTGTACTCCGAAATATGTGTTTTCTTTGAATACCTTTCTAAATCGTTATATTTATTATTGACTTTTTGTTGAAGAAAATTTTTTAAATCAACATTTCAATAGAAGAAGAAAAAAAAACCTGGGAATTTACCAGTTTGAACTGCTTTGGTGCTGGTGTCTCAAACTCATTACTAATAGCCGTACACAAGCCTCATTTTTTTGTATCTTACATGTATTCACTTTGCATGTGCTCTGAGAAATTGAAAAAATATAAGAAAAAAATCATGTCTCAGTGAATAATAATACACTCGCCTAAGCTTAACTCAACGTAATTTTGTAATCTTTCAGCTGTAGATAAAAATCATGCTTCAATAATGATACGGGTTCCAAATGGCTGCACAATATTCGAGTTTGGGTCTCACCAGAGCGTTATATATCCTAATGACTGGTAATTCCTAACATATTTACTTTGCCCCAAAACAAAACCCAAACTCTGTAAATCCTGCGAGAGTACTATTTTTGAACAACAGAGTTGAGTCATATGGTACCCCCAAATCTTTAACATTACTTACTCGTGCCAATGTGATATATTCCATTTCATATGCATACTCTATTTTTTCTCTCTTTCATTTTTGCAACTCATTACAACAGAATTTGACGTATTGAACTTATTTTTCACACTCCATTGGTAAACGTTTTCAATATCCTTTTGCAGCTTACTACAATCTTGAACACAACCTACTTTTCTATAAAATTTAAGGTCATCTGCAAAAGGTAAACAATTTGAATATTTAATTTCTTCTGGTAGATCATTAATAAAAATAAGACACATCTGAATAGTTAGTACCAAATTTAACTCTGAATGTTCTTTAGTCTAAGTATGATGCTGAAAATTTCATAGTTCCTTTAGTAGCTTCACATAGAGAAAGTTTGTTTAACAATACATCATGATTTACTTTGTCGAACGCTTTTTGGAAATCAGTGTATATCACGTCGATCTAAGTAGAATTTTCCAGACTTCTAAGTACGTTATGACTGAAAGATACAAGTTTTGTGGAAGTTGACTTCTTTGGTACAAAGCCGTGCCGTTATTCATTTATTGAATTCTATACTTTGTACCACACTTTTGCAAACTATTATCTGTTCGAACAATTTACCAGGAGAAGGTAGCACAGCAATTGGCCTGTAACTTACTATAAATGACATTTTACCAGATTTTTATATAGGAGTTACGATAGCACGCTTCAATCGTGATGGAAACTTATTTGAAAATAAGTAACTCTATACATGGATGTGTAGATCATGCACAGAAGTAACATTCAGACACAAACTGAAAATTTATTCATGAATTGTGTGTATTTTCTATAATGTTATCCAATTTGGTACTGAAGAGTCTTAAGGTAAGTGTCTTACGGCGAAACATCGATGTCTACCAGTGAGGATGACAGTGTTCCATGTAAGTGCAATTTGTTACCATTCATTTGAAGTAGAACTCCTGTGGATGATATCTGATTTTATTCCATAACGAATACAAACTGAGTAGAGAAAAGTATCTTCCGTATAATTCAGTGTTCATATAAAAGTATTTGTTTCGAAAGAATTTTTTTCTTTCGTGTAATTCAATATTTATATGAGAGTAGGTGTTTCAGGAGGGATTTCTTCCAGTTTTTGTCTGAAAGTTACTTCTTTGCATGATCTACACAGCCATGTATAGAGTGACTTATTTCCAAATTGATCACTTGCTTCCTCTCTTTGGAAGATTCCCTCATTTTTTTTGCATCAAGATGGAGTAGTAGAAAGCCAAAAACTTTCTTTCCCAAAAATTAATCACTCCTAAAAATATAACCCCTTCAATTCAAGTCAGTTACTGTTACTTCGTCTAATGAGAAATAGGATGTTTCTTCAGTAACGCGGTTAATGTTGTATTTAGTATTTGCTTGCAATATATAGATTCAAAATATTCACCAAAGCAATTTGGAACCTCAGCGCCACTGAGTTTCATATTGTTGTATTAAAAAACCGAAGCTGATGAAGAATTTTTTTATTATTTTTTGTATATGTCCAAAATTGCTGGTGTCAGTTTTGATAGCGTTTTCAATACCAGACATACTGGCATGCTAATATGTCTGGAATGAAATGAAATCATCCATACATTTTTTTCATCTTTTTTCTGAAGCAAGTATATTTGTTCAAGTATTTCAATAATGACCACAAAGTTTCTGTTTCATTGCCGAGAAACGCCCAGTAGATCATAAATATGAAAACTCGTAGAGTTTCTGACGATTATCATCTCCTGCGGTCCAACATTAAAGACATTAAAACTGTTTACGAAGCCATTGCTTTCTGAAAAACTCTAATAAATTATACGTATTCAAAAGATTGTCAAAACTTATCTCCAACCTTAAAATTTAAAACGTAGCAATTAGTCGTTAATGGCTCCGAAACAAAGAAAGTCGTTTTTCAAAATTGTTTCTCCTCGAATACACCTTATTCATTAAAAATGCTCCCTGCACAACTTTCAGACTGTCTCTGTCGGCCTTCGACTACGTGATATAATTCGTCTTTGTTTTTCTTCTGCAGGAAGATAAGACGGGACATCTTTTAAATACAAGACTGATAGCGTTCTTAATTTGAAAACTTGAAAGATAAATTTTCTTCACAATACATTAGAGTTGATATCTCGTCTTCAACTGTAGAGAGTACAATCGATTCAGATATACAATTAAGTTTTGTTGTTGGTTCTTGAAAAATACATCTTTCCTACAAATACTAGATGAAAAAGAATTTAGTTTCACAAACAATATTTTTGTTCATTGACAGGAAGTAATGACTGATAGATTCAAAACGTCAAAAACTAAATAGAAAATCTATCAATTATATGTCTAGTCATTTTTAAAATATGTCAATTATATCTAGTGAGGTTCGGAAAATTATTTATTACAGTTTGATGATTCAAAATAAAAAAATGTATTTGTCAGGATTGAGAGTCAATCATTTTTAATAGAGAAAGTTGAAATGGAAAAATTGAATGTGATGATGCAGAAGAATTGCTTAACAAGTTTTAAGTTCCTCATTTAGCAGTTTTAGAATATGTCAATTCATAAAAATAAATTCTTAAGAGATAGAATGACTGGAAAATTCAAGTATATCCTGAAGTATGATTGTATATGAGGTTGAAAAAATATATTTTGTAATTCAAGGCTAATATTACTGAATATTACTGGAGTTTTTTCCCAACACCAAATCGTTATTTTCAACACCTCGACATGTGTTTCGATCACCAAGTGATCATCTTCAAAGAGGAAGAATCTATTATAAAAATTGTAAAGCATAAAATTTAGGATAAATTTTATTTGAACCTTTTTTTCATGCGCTCAATCTTTTTTGAGATAGAGGGCAGTATACGCGCAGCGCTCTGCTGTGCGTACTGTGATCCAAGGTCAACCGCGAATATCTGTGAATATTACCCTCAATTTTGAATAATTTGTATTATTTATCAGTATTTTTTGCTCACGAAGAATATTCAACAAAAACCCCAAGAATTCGGAGCAATCTTCTTGTTCTCTTAACGAGAATCTAGTGGACTTCAAAAACTCCAGGAAATCGGTTGGCGGGAAAGATAATACATTCTTTCGAAACTGCAACTTTATGAACAAGTGTTTCCTAAATTATCTAATTCAATTCTCTTCTCAAGATTTTCAGGACAACTGTCTACTGATTCGTAAGGAAGAAGATTTTTCACAGAATCTGTTTCAGAACCATTTCTCAAGCTGCAATTGATTTTTTCAAGTGATGAAGAGTTTCGTAGAGGGGTCGATTCGGCTCTTGCTTCATGAAGCTCCTCCACTGAAAGGTGGTAGTTCGATATTGATTTGTGGTGAAATGACACAACAAATATAAGTATCTGAAAAAAAACTATCAATCAATACATGGAATTCCAATCTTACGATTTACTTAATTACTAATTGAAATTCATAATGATTTCCTTAGAAATAAGTTCACTAAGAATTTTAAGAACACCTGAGATTTAGGATGCTTTTCTATTCGCTATGTGTTATCACAGAATAGTAGGTAAGAATTATTTCAACGGTGGTTTGCTCTAGACTTTCCTGGTCTACGAACTCGAAGGTATATCGCGTTTAATATGTGTGACTGATGACTTGTTTACTTTATGGTAATTCATGATCACTCAAATGAAATGAATAAAAGCACTTTTGTCTAAATACCACTGGAAAATTTTTATTTATACGACCGGTTTCGGCTTTGAACCCATTATCAAGTATAAAACTGAAATCTGAATTTTGAAATATCGATTTATAAATGAAAATTGTCCAGTGGTATTTAGACAGAAGTGCTTTTATTCATTTCATCGTTCTCTTCGATTCGAGTTATATTATTATGGTTCATTTAGTTTGAGCACCATTGTAGTATAATGAAAATATCTGTAGATTATTCTGGATACTCTTCAATAAACTAGAAATTAAAAAAGAAATTTTCATTTCTCCGTTCCATTACAAAAATAACTATCACTAACATATTTTAGTAACATAATTGGACTGTACTAGATAAAATAGGATGATACTGTATAGTTTTGCCAAACAGCATCGATTTTCACAAGATGGCAAGTGAAAGTTTTGCATTTCAATAAACAAATATTTTCAGACATTGAATTCTTAATTATAGTTCTGCAAATCTATACATATAATCTTTGATTAAGAGGATTTCATATTATGACAAAGTAAAAGTAACTTAAAATTACCGAAAACAACCAAAAGAACGTTAGTCTGATCGAACGAATGTTCACAAAAAATTTCTTTGTTAGCATTCGGAAGTATTTCAAAAGTAATTTTTTGGTATATTGGGAACAATTTTTTTTTCATTCAGACCATGATTATGAACAGTCTGAAATATGAAATTGAATTATTCACCATGGATTTGAAACATATGATGAAAAATTATCTGAATCTTCTGCCAAAATGTTTTACTTGAGATCCTTTTTCATTTTATTTTCCCACTCCAACCAGCGTTATTAAACGAATTCTTAATGGATTTTCAATCCGAGAATTACGTTTTCTTGTTAGTCAAAGGTTCAATAATATTCAGCTTTTCCAAAGGAATTGAGTTATAAAACGTCTGAAGTTTTCAATAATTGATGAATGTTCGAGAGTTTTTCTTTCTTTTCGTTCGCTGAAGTTTTTAGCTCGAACAGAGTGCGAAAATGAGAAATAAGAAAATTGTAAAAACCTGTTATTGATCGGGACTTTTCCGTCCTTGTCAAATCTCTCTTTCATATCCTTGTCTTCCCAAAGAAATAACAAGTTCCAATTATATACAAAATTAAAATTCATCTCATTGAAAAAGCGAACGAACTCAGTTTCTATTAAAAGTTTTTAAGAGAATTTTCACCCTAAAGAAATGTACGAGGAGTTTCATTAAAAACTTAAATTACACAAAGTGGACGATTGAGTTTGATAATTTTAGTTTTCCTTCATCAATTAATTTGCTGAATTATAAACTTTGCAGCTGGAGATGTGGACGGTTGTTCGTTTTGTGAAGAAATGGACAAATTTGAATATTCAAAAAAAAATACAGAAAAGAAGAAAGTGTGAACTTGTTAGGAATGAAAAATAATAATCTTCGAGAACATACGTGTTTCTATCATTACATTACATGAAAATTAGGATATTTAGGATGGTTTTCGACCCATAGTGAAATGAAATAAAAATGTGGGTTGGTGATGAATTTGATAAATTTACAAACTCAATTTATTCTCGTATTAGAACTTGAAAGGTTGAAATAGTAACTGAAAGGAAAAAGTGGCTTCCGTGAAATTCAATGTTCATATCCTTGAAAGTAGTTGTTTGGGATAAACATTTACAGTTTGTATACAGGGTGTAACATAAGTGAATTAAAATATTCAAGTATAACTGAGAAAATTTTAAGAAAAAAGTCTATATATATAAAATTATATCTGGAAATGTTTCAGTTCGGAGATTAAGGGTGTTGAAATTGAATTTCTTTTCGTGTTTTGAAAATTACTTTGGAACGAAATTTGGTACCCGGAGTTTATTTGACGTAGAAAATAATAATTTCGTATTAATTTTCATGTATTTTTTTGAGGACAAGCACTACAGGAAAATCCTTAAGGCGCTCTCATAGCGGTGCCTGTGCGAAAGTAGCGATTCACATTGGATTTGAATCGCTGGTGATTAAATTCATTTGGAAAAACGTTCTCAGGAAATTTATTCCACACAAACGCAGCTTTACAGATGAAAGAGTTTTTAAACAGTGAAGGTTGAGGTGTACTGAGTTGAACCTCTAAACGATGATCAGCCACAGTCTGTCGTGTATTTCTGATATGTACCGCGCTTGGTGGAATCAAATGTGCCAAGTCACTTGAACACTTCCCGTGGTAGTACCTATAGAAGAGAGACAAATCTCGAACATTTCTTCGATGTTCCAGGCAACCAAGGCTCTTTTATGGATGAAATCTAGCAACTTAGGGTATGTTTGTGGGCAGAGTTTCATACATGAGAACAATAAGCCAAAGAAGGTCTGATCTGAGGTTTATAAAGAATCAAAAGTTGCTGAGGTGTGTACAGTTTTCTGGATCGGAACAGTGCTCCAAGCTAGAGGGCGTTGCGTACGAATTCATTATCTAATTCCCACACCTTTTCCAAGAAAATTGTAAATATCTCGAAAACGATCACCTCCAGCGTTGTTGAGGAAGTGTAAATTTTTACTTGAAAAAGGTTTAGAAATTAAATTTTTTAATGAAATGTACCAAAAGTTTACCGTCAAAAAAGTTAGGGCAATTTGAAATAAATAATGATAGCGTACGCAGCGCCCTCTAGATGTTACATACCAAATTTCGTGCAAATAACTTAGTTTTTGCGAAAGTTATGTTTAAAAAACAAACAAAAAAACACCCTGTACTTCCGAATCGAAGCATTTCCGGACACAAGTTTATATAGACTTTTTTTTTTAAATTGTCCCAGGAATACGTCACTTGAATATTCTAACGCACAGCTTGTCAAATCTAGGAAGAGACTTGAGAATTTCTGCTTTCTCTCTTTTGCTAGTACTGTACTAGTGAAAGAAAGAGAGCAGAAATCCTCAATTCTCTTCCTAGATTTGACTCTGTATATGAGAACTGTCTATGTATGATCAACGCGCAATTTAAATAAGATCTGTTGAATTTTACAATAAAGAATGTAAAGGAAATATATGGGAACAAAATTAAATACTGTAGGTTAAAAAAATTTTTGCTGCAGAAAATAGCAAAATATATGTGTTTTCAATGAATTACAGTGAAAAACTACAGTGGGATAATGAATAGGAAAACCCTATAAACTGAAGATACAACCTTGCACGTGGTATGATGAAAATTATTTTTCTTGATTCTCTAAATACTGAAAATGCTAGTTGAAGGTACAATCAATACCAATAACAACAGCTTAACTGATTGCTGTATGTGCATCTGTTTGTGCGCTTTTACCAACATGTTGCGTTATGTGAGCTTTACTTACACATTTAGTGCTTCATATACTCAAATCGGTCAATGAATGAAAAAGTTATTTGCAATCAAGGAATCACGTCGAATATTTGTATAAAAGTATGTACAAAAGTTAACATAAAATCAAAATAAATCTCCTCGTCTATATTTATCGAAATACTTTGCTCATTGGGATATAATTGAAGATTTTAACAACAAGTTCATCCTCTAAATGTTTTCTTAAGTCCAAAACTGTGAAAAGAAGATAACTACTGATGATTATTCTCACACAAATTTAGATATGAATGCTTGTATACCCCTTTCAATTTG